AATACAAATAGCAAAAAACCCATAGGAAATGAGATATTTCCAAAAAAAGCGCAAAAAACCGATTTTTGTGACCTTTGACCTTGAAATTTAATAGTTGCTTACACCCTACCATATGTAGGTTTTGAGACAACTTTTAGGGTGTCAATATACAAGTATTTACAGACTTACAGCTGGGTATCTCGAATTCCGAGATTCTTACCTAATTTAAGCTTAAATGACTGGATTATTATTGGCCGCAAAATGATTTCTGCATGATTCTTTAGGTTTGACTTTACATAGACACCTTACTGCCCTGTTCTCTAGTATTAACACAGATGAGAGAAGGGTTGTACTGCATGTTCCCCAAAATGGTATTCCATATCTTATTTGGGATACAATCAAAGCGTAGTAAACCGTTTTTGTTGTGTGAAAACCCAGCTCGTTAGAAACCACCCTCATTGCATAACATCCGGAGGAGATTTTACTCTTAATATGTCTGACGTGTTCATCAAATTTGAGCCTATTATCAATATAGACACCAAGAAATTTTGTGTTCAATTTGTTTTCCAAAATATCATTGTCTATTGACAGTTCATTTAGCAGACATTTAAATGTTATTATATTTGTTTTGGAGACATTCAAGGATAATAAATTAGTATCATACCAATTTCTCACCTTTTCTAAATCAGATGATATTTTTTATGTAGCTCTGCTGGGTTTTTTCCTTCCACAATATTTTTGTTTCATCCGCGAATAGAGTAAAGCTGCCAGATATATCTATCATAGTCAAATCATTAATATACAACAAAAACAGAACTGGACCCAACACAGAACCCTGTGGCACACCAGATGTGATTGCCCTGCTTTCTGAGAGTTCCGATGTTCTTACCATTTGACTTCGGCCTGAGAGGTACGATTGAAACTAATTGTACGTCATCCTTCGGCAGCCATACCGGTGATGTTTTTTGAGTAATAATTCATGATTAACACAATCAAAAGCTTCCGAAAGGTCACAGAAAATTGCGGCAGCTACTTCACCAGCATTTATTTCTGAATGAAGTTTATAAAGGAAAGAGAATATTGCATCACTTGTATCTTTTTCCGTCTGGAACGGAATTAGAGAAATGGACCGCAGATTGGAAGGATTATGAAAATGATCACCTTTATGTAGGGAAATAACAATTGAAGTCTTAAAAGAAGGAGGGAATGAGCCAGTTTCTCAAAAGGCATTGATGAGATTAACTAAAATTTCCAATGCATCTCCTGGTAGATTCAAAAGTATTTTTACCGAAATCTCATCATACCCAGCGGTATTTTTATTTTATATGTCGTTCAAGGTTTCAATTAATTCATGAATATCTGTGTTATATAAAATGAGGCTATCATCAATGTTAATATTTTCTAGATTGATTAAAGGATCATAGGGCACGCGAATAGTGCTGCTTAGCTTTTGAGCAATAGTGCAGTAGAATTCGTTTATTTCGTTAGGATTTAATGGGAAATCAACCTTTGTTTTCTTTGATTTTCCTCTGAGGTCATTCATTATGGACCAAGTCTATTCAATTCTGTTAGTTGATTCTCCAATTCTGTTTCTGTAATAAATTTTCTTTACTAACCTGATAGTTGATTTATAAATTTTACAGTACCTCGTGAGGTACATACAGATAAATTGGTCATTCGTAAATTTTCTAATGTAATGCAGTGAACGTAAGTTTTTTGAGGACTTTTTAAGTCGTTTCGTCAACCACGGCTTTTTACGCTTCTGTATAGGAAAAGACTTATCATACACGTCCAATAAAATGCTGAGAAATGATAAGAAAGGATTATCTTTGGTCAGAGTGCTCTCCAAGTTAATTCCGATACAATTCTTGTAGAACCTATCATAGCTTGAACTACTATACAGTCTATTATGTTTACATATGGTATGTTTCTTTGGCGACTCTAGAAATGGTGCGTGGGATGGCAAAAGACCTGGGCGTCAGCTCCCATGCGATTTTTGATGGTTCAATACCTATTGAAAAAGTCGAAAAGCTCGAAAAAGTGGGTTCCAACGATTTGAACCATCCACAGAAATTGTCACGTTCCGAGATATGTCCTTCTTTGCTTTTGCGCAACCAAAACTATCCTTTTTCGGATCGGATCGTCACGTGTGATGAAACGTGAATCCTCTACGACCACAGTATACTTTCAGGACAGTGCTTGGACACCGATGAGACACCCAGGTACTTCGCAAAGGCGAAAACCCACCAAAAAAGACCATGGTTACTGTATGGTGGTCAGGGGCTGGTGTGATCCACTAGAACTTTCTGCAACCGGGCCAAACCTAAACAGCAGAGTCCTATCGTGAGAAAATCGAAGGAATAATTGCATTAGCAGCAGCCGGCACTGGTCAACAGAAGAGGTCCAATCCTGCTCCACGACTACACTTGTCTGCACGTTCCACAAATCACCGAACGGAAATCAAACGAATTTAGCGTCGAAGTTCTGTGTCACCCACCACACTCCCCAGACCTTTCGCCAACCGACAACCTTATTTTCAAGCACTTCGACAACTTTCTCAGCGTTAGAACCTTCTCCAATCAGGACCTGGCGGAAACGGCCTTCTTCGACTTCATCGAATCCCGATCACATTTTTTCATGCTGACGGAATCAGTCTACCTGTGTTACGTTGGCAAAAGTACACTGATTATGACGCTTATTTCGATTGAATCGAATAAATATTCACTGATCTATGACAGTAAAAACAGACAAAACTTTCAAAACAACCTGTTAGAATGTATAACATGAACACCGACATGTGTTTGCCTGGAATATGATCTGAATATTAACTGTGGTAGTTATACAAGGTGTTGAGCAAATGCTTTTTCTGCTGTTGATGTTGCTGGAGAACCATCCAAGATTTTCAAGGGTGCAATTATGGATGATGAAACTTTGACCAATGGTCTTTGTATCTGATCCAACTTGGAACTGGTAAAGAGTTCCAAAAACTCTGGTCATGAGATTTTACTTCATTCCAATGTTTCATTTGAATGTGTAGCACCAAATATGTCATAATAATGAAACTCGCAATGAATTCTCACGGAATGTAGTATCTGCCAAGTAGTAACTAGTATCTATTATTTATGATAAAATGAAGGGAATTTGCAAAAAGGTAACAAATGAATATTACTGGAGTTTTATTCCAACACAGAACCGTTATTTTCAACACGTGTTTCACCAAGTGATCATCTTCATGAGGGAGATTAAACCTTTTGAAGATGATCACTTGGTGATCAAAACACGTGTCAAAATGTTAAAAATAACGGTTTGGTGCTGGGATGAAACTCCAGTAATATGCATTACTACACCAAAGGTTCCAAACAAGAAATGTACCACAACTACTTGTAAAAGTATACAGTTTGGGTTTTGGTGGGATTGATATCAAAATCAATTCCACCAAAACCCAAACCATCCCATTCCGACATCCTCACACCTCTACCCGCCCTAAACTAAATCCCGATAACTTGAACCTCATACTCTTAGGAGAAAACCTCATACTCCAGGATTCAGTGTCCTACTTGGGGGTCACTTTCACAAGAATCCTCAACTGGAAGGACGACCTGAGACAAACTCTGAACAGAGTCCAGAAAATAGCAAACCTGCTTAAAGCACTGAGAGGCAAGCTCGGGAGATGCGACAGTAAAACTCTCCTACATACTTATAAATCTTTCATGAGATCAGTCCTACAAAGCGATGATACACTGTACGCTTCCCCCGAGACTATCCCACCGTATCCTAACTACCGAGAGAAAAATCCTACGCAACATCCACAACCTCTCTTACCGTTACCCATCTCAAAACTTATATAACCTAATTAACACTACAGCAATCAACCTACAATTTCAGGAACTTCAGGGACGATACGCGACTAGAACGATGAGCAGTAGCAACACCGATGCCATCAACTTGCTGACCACACCGTGGAATCCTCGTGGAGGACCCAGAAGGTTTCCTAGGAAGAAGCTCCCATTTCCCCCAGCCAGACTCCTGGGAACAGTGGAAGATCCGCCGGAGCAGATTCAGGATATCCTAGAGGAATACCCACTTGGAATCAGATTGCGGACAGCTGCGTCCTGGAAGGAGCTGAAATCTGAAGCCATGAGCCCCAGCCTTACAACACGTACCCAAAAAACCCCAATGACCACTGCAACTGACCCGGACCACTCGGAAAGACAAAAAATAAGAGGAACACATGACAACTAAAACAACACTACTCTGGACATCATTACACCAGACACCACACATACAACTCACTAACCCTGAAGAGGTATAAGCCTATAGCAGGCTTCTGAAGTCTGATGAAAGCTATAAGAAATCAGAAAATTACTTCTAATTTGGTGTTTGATATTGAAACAATTTTGGGATAGCCCGTCTATGAGTCTTAGAGTTTGGATTTTGAGACTTTTCTTTCTACTTACATACTTATCTTACTCTACATAGTCGCAGGGAAATATCGTCTAATATTCCTATTTTTCTCATAAAGGTAACTATCAACTCACCTCAAGCTCAGCTGATAGGGGAATTCTTCAATCTGAACAGACCTTCCTCCTATGATTCTGGAAGTTGCGTGTACTGAGTCCTTTAATAAAACTAACGAAATTTAATTATCTAATGTGTTTAGATTTTTTCGAATACAAAGTTAAAAATCGGCAAAACAAGTTATTGAAACGTTCGTTTGAAGGTTATTGACAATGTTTCATGATGAACTTCATTAGTTCGGACTTCCATTGTCTGATATTGTATAAAATGATTTGAAATCCCTGAGAGAACTAAAAGATAAGAATTGAAAAATGAATAGCTGAAAATAACAGTTATAAATTGATGGATGTAGCCGTTACTACGTGGTAGGAGATCATAATGAAAAGAGAAATGAAAATTTCTATGTGTTTTACCACTTTTAATTGTAACTAACGTTACTGCAGTTACGTTCTATATGGACATTCTCAAACTAATACAATAAACTAACAATGATTCATTACATTCGCCAATATGTACCATTCAGGTACTTGATTGATACTTGAATTTAAAGTTCACAATGCGGATGTGCCAATTTAAAAACCGGAGATCGATCATTTAACAGGTTGCACCCACAATGTTCATGCTTGTTAATTTCCAAGGCTTCTAAATAATTGAGTTTGCAACCCTTCCATAGTCTAGTTTTCATAGTCTCCGTTGTTTAAATTGGCACATCCGCATTCTCTTTTCATTAATAATTCCGTGTTAGGAATCACACGTTAAAAGGTAAGACCTCGTTAATCCCTAGCTCGCACAAGTTTCGACTTCTGAGGGTTGTCGTTCGTAGGGGTGCGACAGCTGGTTAACGGAAAAACAGATTTTAAACAGATTAATAACAGTTATATTAAGCAAGAAACCTGAAATGAAATAATAGTGAAATAGAATACAAGTAAAAATTGAATAATCGAACAAAAAATAAAAATAAAAAGTTAAGAGATTCCAAGCCAAGTTACTTCACGACATTTTGATTGTTGGTATCCACAATCGTCTTGGGGTGATGACTAGATCAGTCCAGTCGTAAATGATGCAAAATGATATAGTAGAACAGGGATATAAATAAAATAAATAAATAAAATAAATAATACACGTTTTTTAGAAATGAAATGAAAGGTACATAAACATAAGCAGTCAGCAGTAAATAAACATGTATATATTTCAGGTTTTTCTTTTGTATGGCATGATTAGTCACTTTTGATTTTCTCATAAAAGGAGTCAAGTATGTGAGTTGTCTGTTCCTTGTATTGTATTGGTGTTCCGGGTTCTTCAATTCGTGCTTGGAATTATGCTGTTTGATGGATATTTTTTATCTTTATTGAATATAATTTTAAGTAGGCGCTTTTGAACAATGATTAATTTTTCGAGGTAAGACTTACTTCAACCTCACCATGCTAATATTCCATACACAATATATGGTTCCACTAACGCCTGATATATCGTTCTTATTGCTTTGAAATCTAGAATATATTTAACATTTTTGAGTTTATAAATTAAAAACTGTATTTTCTTAGTGATATATTCGATTCGATATATTCCAATTCAGGTTATTGTATATCATAACACCAAGGTATTTGATCTTATTACAGCTGCATATTGAAATGTCTTCAGTGATTTGCAGGCAATCATAAGAAGGGGTACTTCTCTTATCAATATGTATGGGTAGAAAAAATATTTTTTTAAGTTAATTGTTAAAAGTCTATAGTTGAAAAAGGCTTGAATATTACGGATATCGCTTTCTGCTTGAATTTTAAGTGATAGCCAGTCTTCATGACTGCAGAAAATTGCAGTATCATCCGCATAAGTAATAATTTGACCACTTGTGTTTATTCTGAATAGGTCATTCAAATATATATTGAACAGAGGTGGTCCCAAGACAGTTCCTTGGAGTACACCATATTATATTCTTTGAAGATTGCTCCTTACCATCTTCAGTTCAATCAACACAGTGAAATCTATTGGTGGATTTCTGGGTGATGATCTCAGAATGTCAAGAAGTATTTCACAATTGGTATATACAGTGTGGCACACTTAAGATAAAGATATTCCTGTATTTTGGTCATTTTTGAATGCAGATATTCGATTTTTGCTACAGGCGTAGACCTTCATGGGCCGTACTTTCCGCAATACTTAGCTCAAGTGACCTTGCGAAAAAAGGCAAATTCTCGATATTTAGCTTCGGGTTGACGATCGATTAGATTTAGAAAGCACAATTGATACAATATTATTTTCATGGCAACATTTGATGACATTATATGAGAACAAGTTCAATAATGGTGAATGAATAACTTCTTGTTGATCGTTTTAAAAAAATTCAATATTTGCCTTTTTTGATCTCCAGAGATGTTAGGAGGTTTCATTTTTGTCCTTCATTTTCTGTATGTGATATGTTGTAGTACATATTAAAATCGTGGTTATTCTCTAAAAGGTGCCAAGCATAGGCTGAATTATGAAAAATGAGAATCAAAACTTCCTACGTTTTTATACCACTTTCACATAAGAAGTTTCATTTCTCATTTTTCATGATGATATCCTATATCACGTAGTAACGGCTACATCCATCAATTTATAGGCTGAATTCGTTTTCGGTATCTCAAAACTTTTTTATGTTCTGAGATTCATAATTTCATCAACTGTTACATTCGAAAAACAACCATGTGCAAATCTGATTATGAAACAATGACAGCACTTTTTACAACTCCTTGATGATATTTTGACAGCTAATTTCTGTCTTTTTATACATGGAATCAAATTTTTGAAAAGCTGGATAAGATGAATTGAAAATATTTCAAATCAGGAAATTTTGTAGGTCATGATACAAATTTTCAGTTAAAAAAATGTGGGAGTTTCATGTTATGAGTTAGGTCAGGTTAGGTCCAAAGTGAGTGAGTCTATTCGACCCTCTACCGCAACCCGCAAGGGTTTATTGTGGCTCACGCCTATTCACACTCGACCAAATAAACCCAGCTTCGTAAAGAAGCTGGGTTTGTATGGTAAGTGGTCTTTAAGGCAGTAGTCTTTCAGGACTGTCTTCCGATAGTCTAAGTCTCTGCATATGATGATTCAAATGACAGTGACCTGTGAGAAGGCCTGTTAGACTTCGTAGTTCATCCCTACTGTAGTCCAATAACTGTTTGGTAATAAGCTGCTTCGGAGGGTGAATAAACGCTTTGGAGTGAGCCAATTCTGGAAGAGTCTGCCAGAAGTCCATAAATCTTCTTACCATCCAGGTGTTCAATCTTTGTTTGGCAAAGCCTAAATCGATGCCAATGATAGGTTCTGGTCTAATGAAGCTACTTGCAGCACCCTCCTTTGCAAGGGAGTCAGCAGCCTAATTTCCTTCCAAACCAGTATGGCCAGGAATCCAGACCATAAACAATCTGTTAAGTCTTCCCATCGAGGAAAGTCGTTTTTGGCAATTTGATGTTATGACTACTTCATCTTTTAATTTTATCTTCTAAAATACAATGATACATTTCTGATGTAGAAAGATACATGCGATTTCACCATGTACTTTGAGCAGGAATTTTCTCTCAAGGATCACTACCATTATTCTGATTCAAAACATCATTTTTGAGATTGATGGTTGTTCATTTATATACATGTATCATTTATTTATATAACCCAATTTCTACTTAAAAAACAGGCGATATATCGTTATGATAATTCGTCAGATATCCTTGAAATTGTTTACAAATGATAAGAACAAATTTTTCTGCTTAGATATGAAATGAATTAAACCAATTGTGGAGCAATTTATTATCATGTTTTCAGAGTCAGGAAAGTCCCGAATGAGATTTTTTTTGCCACAATCTATATTACTTGTTTCATAAATCTCGGTGACTATCGTTTGATCTTTCGAGTTGTCAGAATTTGTGAAACTATATGATGCGATTTCACGTTCAGGTTTGTTGATACGGAATCCAACCGATGAGAGTATTTTGATTAGAACCGAATATAATTAAACTCCAGTCGGCGTTATCATTAACAACTGTTAATAATTCGAAAATTTCAGTTTTCAGATTCAATTGAGAAATACCAATTTTGGCATTAACTCAACTATCGTTCATCTTATTGAATTTGTATTCAGTAACATACGAGTTGAATTTTCATTTTTCTTGAGAAACAAAGCTTATGTTGTACCCAGTGGAGAATTATACCTAGAAAATTTTAATGAGTCAGTATTCAGGTACACAAAAAAATACAAAATTGGATAGAAAATTTCCAATGATTTGATTACAATACATATTTCTCACTATATTCAGCGCATAGAAAATAAAACAGAATGTAATCCTGAATATGTTCGAACAATTATCCGTATTATGTTCCGTATTTCAACAATTAAACCATTTTTCATTTTCTTCACTTCAGAATATTATTTTAATCATTTTCATAATATTCAGATGTTATATCTGTTCAAAAATCTGTTTAAAGTCTGTTTTTCCGTTGACCAGCTGTCGCACCCCTACGAACGACAACCCTCAGTAGTCGAAACTTTTGCGAGCTAAGGATTAACGAGATCTCACTTTTTAACGTGTTATTCCTCACACCTAATCTAACACTTATGATGATTACTTTAAAACATATGTTTATTTTGAATCTTATAAAAATCACTATCGATAATCATTCGTTCATCCCAACGAAATGAATAAACCCAAAAAATTTGACTATATTTTAGAACGCTCACTAAATTCTGAGCTTTCTGTGACCTTGCATAACCTCACTCTATGCTGAAAAGCGAACCTTGACAGGCAAAGCCTAGTAAATAAAACAGATTGTTTCAGCCAAACCTCACCTACCCTAATCTGTCCTAACCTAACTTAATTATACGCCTGTATTATAGAATTAGATAATTAGGTAGATTCACATAAACCTACACGAGTATATTTAAAAATCGTGAAATATCAACGTATAATCTCACCTAACCTGATCTGTCCTAACCTAACTTAATTGGTAATGTGTCTGTATCATATGACAGTCATAGTGATGTTTTTTTTATAATTAATGTTTATCTGTAAATACATATAAATGTGTAAATTTGAATTAGATTATTAAGTAGATCCCATCAGGTATACACGAGTATATTGAAAAATCGCGAAATATCAATGTATAATCTCTCATCCATAAAGTTTAACGATATGTAAACGTAAAATTTAACAACAGAAATACTAGGTACCAACAATAAAATAATCAAGATAATCCAAAGTATAAACACTGCGAGAAATGTTAACAGTTATAACTTACTTAAGCTCAGTATGGAACACAACGCGAACATTTTTAGATTAATTCTATTCTGAATATTCAAAATTATCACCTATATAGCTCGCTTTATCAGTTTCACCTTGTTGTGTTGAAATTGGTTCGGAGCTATTAGTGTAGGCTTGTCACTGTCTGTTGCAACTCCAGAATCATGATTTCAAGGTGCCCTTTGTTCGATTCATTCACCTATTTTGAATTAAAATTCAATATCAGTGGTCTTAGTAGTAAAGATGCGTGTACAATGTCGGTTATGATCATGGTGAGCTCTTGGCCTAGACCCCCAATATATGAAATAACACATGGGCTGAAAAATCCCGGGTCTAAGAAAGAAAACGAGTTTTTTTTGTTCAAAAATGACTTTAATCACCAACATAATCTCCATCAAGAGCCGCACAATCAAAATAGACCTCAATTTCAGTAATAACCTCTTCACTCAGCCAGTAGTCGCTGGGAGCCAAATCTGGCGAATACGGTGGACGTTGAAGCAATTAGAAGTTCAATTCATGTAGTTTTGCCATTGTTTCGATTGACTTGTGACACAATGTGTTGTCTTGATGAAACCATTTTTTTCTTTGCCATTTGCGGTCGTTTCTTTGCAATTTCCCAGATAACACAGGATGTCCTATGGATATCCGTTTTATATCCATTTCAGGTCCAGGATATCCCGGTATTGAAATGGATATCCGATGGATGTCCGTGAAGGACAAGCGTATGAATATCCGTCGAAGGATATCTTATGGATATCCATAGGATATATGAGAAGTAAATGCTATTTCATTAATCAAAATTTATATCCAAAACGGAATTTTGTGAATGTAAAATTTGTGAATAGTAATTTTAATGCATGTTGCTTATTTTGATGACTATTTCACATTCGATTCACTAATATTGGTAAAAAGACAGTATTTCATTTTATACTTATAAAAAATGAATTATGAAAATAAGTTATAATTATTTAACATATAATGAACCCATCATTCCTGATTATATGTATTAATAATAAGTACTTGCTTTTTTTTATTTTTATTCTTGATGTACAAATCATAAGTTTAGTACCGTCGGCAGTTCGTCGGGTGGTAAACAGGTGTAAAGCAGGTGGTAAGCAGGTGTAAACTTGCCGAACACACACTCTCTTATTGACGATAACTCCGGAAATTCGCATAGGGCTTGCCTGACAATTTCATCTTCCTGTTCACACAGGTGCATAGAGGTGTGTCCACTAGCCCCATAGAATGGAGGCGTTTCCTTAGTTGACAGTGGCCAGTCAGAAATCCTATTGTTAAACATAGATTTTTCCTGGTCATCGCCAGATATTTCTTCGGCGCCAGCTTTCCAGGGTCGCCCAGGGTGATCCTGGCAAGATTGCATCTTTTGATTTCATCTCATCTCTTTAGGTATTGAGCATGGGCACTCTAGTACTAGCCCTGAAGTAACACGTTGTCTGTTCAAGGCTAATAGGACTTGTCTGCTGTCAGTGAGGATTGTTATGTTTTCGCCAGAAATTCTTTTCTTGGTTATTTCTTTTGTGGCAATTGAGATACCAGCCAGTTCTGTTTGAACCACGCTGGTATTTTTTCCAATTTCCACTTAATCCTCAGGTTTATTGATCTGGAGTACCCTTCACATCCTGAGCCTTCTTTGGTTTTCAGGCCGTCTGTATATATGCTTATTGCATTTGTAGAGTGCATGACTCTGTGATGTTGGGCATTAATGTACGTACTGTTCGAAGTTTGTTCGCAAAATTTCGTTCCGGAGATCCACTTGGAACACTTTCATTTTCATTCTCTATTGCCTCTTCACCACCAATCTAGATAACGTTCCTCATAGGAACATTAGAAACAGAAAATTACTTGCCAGTCCGAATTTCAACTCAAATTCAAGCAGAAACACCCCAGTTTCTAGAATGTGTGATTCTTTCAACAAATACTGTAGTAACGTAGATATTTTGTACCAGACACGGGAAGAACATCGCAATTTTGCGGATTCAAAGAAGATTCCAAAGTATTCCTGAATCGACAATTGATTTATCTCAAGGGAGATAATCAATTATCTACTGTCGTAGGATTTATTACTCGAAACTTTCAAATTGAAGTTTCCCTTGTCGAAGAACTCGGACATCTCAAAGGCCACACTCCATCTCAGGTATGAACAAACATTTTGTGTTTTATTGATACGACCTTCTTGCTTGCAAGAAATTATGTTCAGACATGTATGAATTTTTAGGCCTTCATTTTCCATTTGCCTGTTCGTTGCTAACTGATAACGCCCTTAAAATCTCCTTAACTTTGAGAATAGCGGTTGGCGAATCTCCACTTCTTGGACTCCTAGATGACTCACCACTGTTAGATGATTGTAAGCGGATGATTGTAAGCATCATGTCTCAAAGAAGGTAATATTATTCCTTTTTATCGTTCATTTGGGTCTGAACGGGACGCATTAACATCACAACACTACCAAAACTGTCAGCGCTACTGCGCAACCCACTACATCTAGCTATAAAGTACCTACTTTTACTTAGTATCAATTATATTAGTTTAGTGTATTGTGTTGAAATTTTAAAACCTTTGCTACCTTTGAGCAACTGTAAATCGAAGGTATGCAAATTAGAGGGTACATAATTCATCAGTTGAATTAGACAACCAGGAAATCATTGTGACAAAATCCTTTCTTTTAATATCATTTATTTTTCCTTGTGAATAAATCAAATTTTGTAGATTGGTCACGGAAGTTAGAACTGACAATCTTCGTTACAATTTTTCTTTACCCTCTATTATTGTTAAAAAAAAATGCTTTTCTTTATATTTGCCGACGCTCTCTTTCCCATAACGTTCATCAATAAATGATTCTAAAATTAATTTACTCCTTGCTTCTTTCTTTATACCCACTCCCGTCTCCACTGTTGAAAAGCTGGTAGAGCATTTGTGGAGGTAATATTCTTCAAAGTAACTATGAAAAGAATATTGAACACATAGCAAAAATAATGAATAATTGGTTAGTGCGTACGAAATTTGTAAATTCATTATTTTTTATTTTTTCTTGTATCTGCTGCACTGATTATCTCTGTAACAACTACTTTTAGTGGATGGGTATTTACCTGTTTGTATCCCAAATTTTGAATGAATAAATAAATAATAATGTCACGAATGAGTTGAATCTACTCATTTCATTAATGACAGTACGTAATGACATTCCTTCGCTCATTTGATTAAATCCCAGTCATAGGAATCTTGTTTAAGTTGAAAGGAGTATATTTTCAGAAGTGATTAACTTTTGAGAAAGAAATTTTTTGGGTTTCCACTTCTCCATCTTCATACAAAAATGTGGTAATATTCCAAAGAAGGTGAGAAAGTAACTAATCTCAAAATGAACTCTCTTAGCTTGCTATGATACTATGCTGCCAACCTTTGTTCATTAAACACAGAATAATGTCCTTGCCGTGTTCGTACATTTTTCAAGTTCTAACAGAGATTCACAAAACTCCTCGATGCTTACCAAGCAATCGGACATACATAGCTATCCTACCAAAGAAGCAGAATTATTATCTCTACAATATACTGCCACCAAAATTGAAATCATTAAGTATAAATTTATTCGAAATAAGGATGAATAACTTACTTTTGACGCATTGCTTTCATTCCACAAAGGAATACATTGGACATTTCAGACTTTGTAGGGAATATAATTCGTCTCGCCCAATTTTTATGTTACCTACTATGGTTTTTTTCATCTATCATTCCATGTTTTGAAAATATTTTTTTAATTACAGTATTTTACACTATGTGTTATGTTTTTTTTTGTTTTGTACTGTCTTATTCATTTAATAATTATTTTAAAATGTATTTATATTTTGTATTCTGTACAGCTACCTGTTTAGTGAACGAAGTTATTATTATTATTATTATTATTATTGCATTGTGTATTCTTTATGATACTTGACTTATTTTATTTATATACACACGCATTTTTAAAGTGTTACAATTTCCACATAATTTTTTATAACATTTTTAATTTTGTCATTTTTTCTAAATGTTACATGCATATGTTTTTTGTACATAATACCATTCATACATACATGTCAATTTTAGGATAAGTGCTTTGCAGCTACTTTCTCTACTCAGTTTGTATTCCAAACATTCGTATGGAATAGAATCAGATGTTATTCACAGGATTTCTACAGGAAATAATTAATGAAAGAAATAAAATTTTACTCAGAAGGAACACTGTCATCCTCATTGGTGGACATCATCGCCGTAAGACACTTGCATTAAGGCTCTTCGGTATCAATCTGGAGTAGTAGAAAGCCAAAAACTTTCTTTCCTAAAAATTTGTCACTCCTAAAAATATAACCCTTTCAATTTATAAAAGTAGTTATTTTGAAAGGGCCTTTTTTCCAGTTTGTGTCTCAAAGTTACTGATTTGTAGGTATGCTACTCACATCTTTTGAAGAGTTTATTTTGAAATTAATTGCTTTCTTTGGAAGATACCCACATTTTTGTGTATTCCTTCCTTCCTTTTACAAAAATAGTATAGTTGTTCACGTCAAAGGAATAATTTATGTAGTCTCGTCTTGTAGGATATTTTATTTTTCAAATAAAAAACGGAAGTAGATACATTATAAGATTAAAATACAACTTAGTGCCAACTGAAAACTACATGACACAGTATTAAGTATATAGTTATTACTATGGTACTGGTTAACATCACTGGAAACCCAACCCTGAAATCAAGTTAAGTTAAAAAGCAAATTTATGTGACGTTGAAGGCGACAAGCTAATCAGTGTCTCAACATAATGAAAAAAAATTGTATTCTCATTGTTTTCGAAAAGTGATTCATTTAGTTTTTGTTTCATACTCACTTCAAAAACTGCATAAAGCTAAACCTATGCCCGTGTTGTTCCGCAAGTCCGGCACATACAATGTTTGAAGAGGATGCAATTAGTGTTCCATTTCCTGAAACAACCATAGCAAATTGCAAGGTAAGGTCCTGTATCCACAATTAAAACTCTTTTTTTTTCAGTTGATATGGACAATGGACAATTTGAATCTCTTTTCTTTAGTCATCATCAACAAAGCAAACATTCAAGTTACATTTCGTTGTGATTTTTTCACTGGACAGTTTACCAAACAGCAACATATGTTTTGCTTGGATGGAAGCACAATATCTGCCTTGATTCTCTGTCATTTGTTAGGTTAGGTTAGTATCTCTTGTACTGAGTACATTTCAATAAAATCATTTATTATTATCATTTTTATTAACTTCCTTATACGAACGTTATCATACATAATTCCTTGCTATCAGCGTTCAATAGTACGTTTCACAGACTATCGAATATTGCACTGGCAGAAGATAATTTTCAAACACATTGCTGTCAATAACAGTTGCAAAGTAGATTATTTTATCGACTATTTTTCGGAAAATGCTTATCCAAAAATAATAAGTCAGGGTACCATTGGAAGCAGAACTGAACGTCAATCAAAATGATGGGCCAGTTGATCTCCCTTCCCATTTAAAATTCTAAGGGTAACATCTACCCCTCCTAGGGAGTTGAACCAAGAGGGCTAAAAATAGACTTTGAAAGTGTTGACAAGAAAATCGACCTGTTTTTTTCGATTCCTCATATTGTTCACTGAAAGGAAGATATTAAAGGTGGGAAGTTTCCAAATTGACACCCTGTATATCTATACACCACTGTAGGTGATAACAGACGGTCCCTAATGACTTCATTACCTGAATTATGTTTACCTGTGACAATGTGGGTACGTCAATCTGAAAACCAGCGAGTAGGTAACATCGGCAACGCTTATTTTTATGAATTTCCAAAAAATTGAGTTTCCAATCCTTGCCTGCATAGTGTGAAATTTCCGTATCGTTCTCATTTGGGTTGCATTCCAAAGAATGGTTTTCAAACGTCGAATCATTTTCATCTAATCTGAAAGACCTTTCATGTTTAACATAGCGTTTTGAGAAATTTTGGCCACATTGTCCCACATAAACACAATTACACTCCGGACACTCAAGCTCAAGTCCAGATTTTTCCATCTTGTCCACATTATCTTTGACATTAAAAAAGAAATTAGATAACCTGACATATGACCTGAATGCCCCTTCCACATTATTTTTCCTAACCCGCTATTATCTCTATTCTTTTACTAAAATATGTTAGTTACCCATTTCTTGATTTCGGATTGTTTGATCTGGGGGTATATTTACATACAAACTAATATACCCCCAGATCATACAATCAGAAATAAATTAATTTGTAACTTTTAAAATATTTTGGTAGAGTTAGCTCTGTTTGAACTGTTCCATTTGATTTTTGAGTATGCCCTGTAGACGTGTTCAGATGTTGATGTTTGTTTAATGAAGCAGTTGTCAATTTTGATAAATGAAAGTCATTACGCAGTTCATTTTTTTCTGTCGATTACGAATGTATTCAACTATATAAAAATAGTTGAACCGTTGCTACAAACAGTTAAACAAGTTAACAAATTAACAAGGTTAACGAGTGGTATAAAAACAAAGGAAGTTTGAATTCTCATTTCTCATGATGACCTCCTACCACGTAGTAACGGCTACATCCATCAATTTTCGAAGATAAAACTTTAGAGTCGGATAGATCAAGAGTATAGAGGAGTTCTAGCCCATAACTTCATATTGGCCAAACGGCGGGAATCTTTTTCCAAATAACAAAAGAACATAGGAGTAGTTTCCTGAATGTGAAGACCAATTTCACATTTTCGAATCATCTTTTGGCAGAGAATGATTAGTTGACTGACGCGACAACTATGACGTTATTACAATGGGAAGAGAAAGGTTATCAATCTTTCAGAATGGTTGGTTTTTCTCCATGTTGAATCTGTTTTCTGATGTGGATAATGGTAATTACTTTATTACATGTTCATTTGATGAGTTAGTGAAATTTTCTATCTTTGATTAGTTTATACCTGAGCTTGGGAATAATTATAAGTCATTATGTACGTAAAATGATTCAAATTGTGATATAAATTACTAATTAGGTGGAATTTAGTCAGTTTGAACACTCCTGAGGAAACTAATGTATAGCTTACCACGTGTTATGGTTTGGTAAACTGTCCAATGAAAACTCCACACTAAAATGTCTCTTGACATGGGTGGATTTTCTTCAATTAACGCCCAATTCCGTCAAATATCAAAATAATTCATTTAAGTATACAAATATAGTTCATTTCATAGTCCAGAAAAATGTTTTGTACCCCCACCGAAACAAGTTTTTATATACCTACGCCCTTGCTATTTATATCAATGCATAACAAAAAAAATGAGAATATTTCAAAAATAAACGTAAAGCTGTTGTATTTCATCAGTTCCGACTTCCGTTGTCTAATATAATATAAATTAAATTGATAACACTGAAAAAATCAAAAAAGATTAACCGAAAATAACAATTTTATTTAAACAAAAAAAAAGAAATCACAAAGAAATAACAACCAAAAAAAAATAAAAATTGAAATATTAATAAAAGCTGAAAATTAAAAATTATTATTAATGAAAATGAAAAATAGAAATAAAAATCAATAGATTTCGAACCAAGTTACGTCACGACGATTCGATTGTTAGTATCCACAATCGTCTTCGGGTGATCACCTCATGATCACCTCGTGACAACGAGGTATTTGTATGACTTTCATGCTATTTGCGAGCTCTTTTTCGAATGAAGTCAGACTGTATTGCAATTCTACGGTTGACTCTTTCGATCAATCTGGACAAGATGAATATTGCTTGATTGTCATACGTGACATCTCTCCAGCTCTTCGTTTATCAAATAAATGGGAATTCTCCGTTGCGGATACGGCTCTCGCGTATCAGATTCCGTCTCTGACTACGTTTTGCCTGGCTGTCCTCGGGTTTGTGGGCTGCCGTCTGTCGTTTGGCACATCTGTGGCCGTTTTTTTTTGTTTTCTGGGCGTTCTGGGCACCCGGAGAAACTGGCTGGATGCTCGCCTTTGCAGTTGAAACACCGCGTGGGCGAGTTTTTTTGTCTTTTACACTCATTTGTTAAGTGTCTTCCGGCACACTTTACGCAAGCAGGAACTGCTTGACATTTCCGATGTGTGTCCGAACTTCCGACACCTAAAACACTGTCCTACTCTATTTCTTGGACGTTGCGTTTCTGCACTTACGCAGACATTTTGTAGTTCTTTCACTCGCTTGGCTTCTACGAACCAAGACTAACACAAATGGAATCGGCTTTCTATTTGACTTGCTCATCCGAGCAATGGAAATAACTTCAAAACCTTTTTCTTGTAGTTCGGTCTTTATGTCCTCAGTTTCCAAGGATTCTGGAACTCCCCGGAAAACGACTCTTAGAGGCTTATCGGCATGTACCGAGTAAGTATGATACGGGATTTTTTCGTGGTCTAAGATTTTCGTTAGTTTTCTGAATTTATCTATGGTGTTTAGATGAACTTTGATCCCATCGTTTTATTTATCGCCCGCGAGATGGAAATGTTCTGCGCGGAGGCGATCGAATTAAATTCTTTCCATTTTTCCTTCGCCCGTATTGTTATTGGCGGAGGTTTTGTGGTCTTTTGTTTTAATTGTTCTTGTCGAGTTCCCGTGGCATCCTCGACCTTATTTTCCCCGTCTAATTCCATCCTTTCGGGTTTATTGTCATCTTTTGTTTGGGGATTAACCTTCTGGGCTACCTACTTATCCTTTTGTTTAGGCCCTTCCGGCTCGCCCGTGTTTTGTGACGTATCGGGTGTGACGTCAGCGGCTTTGCTTTCACTATTCCGTTCAGGTAAGGAATTTTTACTCTTTTTCTTTTTTGGCTGTTGTACCGGGCTTATTGTTTTTTCCACAGAGGGCTCAGACGTGGCCGCTCGTTTTTGGGGTATACTTTCTTCTATGATTTCTTCTTCCTCTGAAGGTATGCTGTCGAAATCCGGATCATCTATATCGTTTTCGTAGCTTGGCAAAGCTTCGAAAAGCTGGTAATATTTTGGCTTGCGATTCTGCTTATTACTTTCCATGACTTTCACAAAATATTTATATGACTTCGCCAGCTCTAAGCTGGAAACGTCATATCTATCTAATATTGCAGCTACTAGTGCAAGTACTGCGTCTCTTGAGTTGTTTCTTCGGAAGTAATGAATGTTATTCAATAATTCCTCCATTATTAACGCTTATCGACCTAAAACATTTTTAGGGGATAGCGGATTATAAAACTGAAAAATGTCACTATTGTCACTTTCGATGTTCACTCATCAACGTCTCAATCGCAACTGTGGACTCATTTCGTTTGATTAGAGTTTTCCATATGTTACGTATCTCTACGCTAGGTAAATGCAATTCTTTTACTCACAGTCCGCGTGTGGTGGCCTGGTTTTCGTGAAGCTGACACGGATAGTGTTCCCAAATCTGAAACAGGTCCTGGTGTTATACTTGGACCCAATCCTTCGTATTTTTTCCGATGCGTAACATATAGAAACCTCTGATCAAACGAAAAACGACCAACTCCCGCCAAACGGTCATCTCCCGCTCAAACCAATGAATCGGAGAGAGAGAGATGAGGTGATAGGTGAAAGCACTCGAATGTCCTATAAATAGTCGTATCTCGGAGAAATGTGTCCAGTTATCACCCGAAGACGATTGTAGATACTAACAATCGAAACGTCGTGACATAACTTGGTTTGGAATCCTTTAATTTTCATTTTTCTTAGTAATAATTTTTAATTTTCAGCTTTTATTAATATTTCAGTTTTTATTTTTTTGGTGGTTGTTTGCTTTTATGTTATTTCTTTCTGATTTCAGTTTTTTTGTTCAAAGAATTTGTTATTTTCGGTTAATCTTTTTAATATTTTTTCAGGAATTTCAAATCAATTCATATTATATTAGACAATAGAAGTCTGAACTGATGAAATACACCACGAAACATTGTCAACCACCTTCAAACAAACGTAAATCTGTT